ATTTGCTTTCCAGTTCTGTGGGGACTAGTTGGACACTCTTTGCTTTCTAGTTTTTGAGGGGGTACAGCCAAATGTTCTTTGCTCTCGAGTCTTTGTAGGGGTCTAGGTGGACACTGTTTGCTCCTCAACCTTAAGAGGGGTCTAGATAGATGCATTTTGCTCTCCAGTCTTTGTAAGGACCCCTCTCTTCCAGTTTCTGAGCCTGAATCAAAAAGGGCTACAGACATTGCCTTTCTTCCAGTTCCTGTTCTCAAAATGGTCACCACAATGCCAAGGCTCTCTAGCCGATAGCCTCTTCCCACTTTATCTATCGGAAAATAGTGCAAGTTTCCAGTCATCACGTGCCTCCTACCCATCGTCTTTTCATCAGTCAATATTCTAGCCATCAACATCTTCAGCTAGATTAGCCTCTTAAATGCTTTCATCTGCCTGTATGGTGTTTGCCATTTTGCATTTAATTATAACAGTGACCCAGGGTGCTGGGGTCAAAACATCAACCAACAGGTGTGTTATGTGTAGACCAGAAGACAATGAGTAGTGCCTTTTGGTCAGAAGCCACCGGACAGCGCTCAGTCTCAGTCTGTCTTGGTTTGATTTGCTGCTTCTACTGCCTTAGTTCTCGCAATTAAACAATATTAACACTAAAGGGGTATAGTATCCATCCATCCATCCATCCATCCATCCATCCATCCATCCATCCATCCATCCATCATCTTCTGCTTATTCCAAAGTCGGGTCGCAGGGGCAGTAGCTTGAGCAGGGAGGCCCAGACATCTCTTTCCACAGCCACCTCTTCCAGCTCTTCATGGAGGACTCCAAGGCATTCCCAGGCCAACCCAGAGACATAGTCTCTCCAGCATGTCCTGGGTCTTCCCCGGGGTTTCCTCCCAGTCGGACATGCCCGAAGCACCTCCCTAGGGAGGCATCCAGGGGGCATCCTTACCAGATGCACGAACCACCTCAAGGGGTATAGTAAACTACCAATAATATAGTAATTATGTGTCTCTCTTCATCTTCTCCCCTAAAAAAAAAAACTCTCAATGTTCTCTCTATGAAAGTTTCAGCTTTAGGTGTTTGTAGTTTATCATGCGTATCTGCAAATTTGGATCCTGTACTATATTACATTAAAACCAGGATTTGTGGGATTTAGAAGAGCTTAACTTTTTATATTGGGAACCAGACTGTTTGAATATTAGATGTAATGTAATTAAAGATCAAATATGAAATATAAATTACAGTTTTCACCTAAGCTCAGTTAATTTCGTTTGCCCAGTTTGCCAGTATCATTAATTGTGTGATTTTTATAAAATAGTTTTAGTGACAAGAAAGTTCATAAATTGTAATTCTCAGTGATAAAACTCAAAGCTTGACATTGAAAGAGTGGCTTTGCTAAATTCAAAAGGGTGATAGTAAAAAAACGTCAAAATCTCATCTTGCAGCTACTGATTATAAATAGCAACAAAGTCACACGTAAATTAAAACAACAAAACTGATGACAACGTAAAGGTTTATTAAAAATCACTTGAATTACCCATTGTAAAATGTACTGATTGGAGCTTTTTAAAAAGATCATCCGTCTAATTTAAGCCTTAGCAGCACATTTAGCTCAAATTAGCCATTAGCTCATACATCCTGTCAAGCTTTAATTTATTTAAACTGAGACCTTTCAAGAAGTCAGTCAGACAAAGAAACGGCACAAGACGGGTGGAGTTTGGTGCCAGAGGTGACTCGTGCCAACTTTCCCAAACGGCAAATATTTCACGTTCAAACATTTTATAAATCTCTGTATAATGTATCATCCAGTATAGTACTGCATAGAAATAAACTTGGTCTTTGACGTTCCACTTCAGAACAAAATGATTTCCTTATGAAGTCATCTATGTTACTTTACATTGAACGCTCTGGTCACAAAAAGGCTCTTGAGGACCTAAAATGTCTTGTACTATGACTACACCATCATGCAAAAATGCTAATCTGGCAATGTTTCCAGCAGCTGCAGCAGCTATTCCTGCATACACTATGCAACGATGAGCACTAATACTAGAATAATTATAACATACCTGTTTTATTAAGTGAGAGGCTTTAAAACAAGAAAGCTAGTTTTTTACATTATCGTGTGCAAAACATAGTATTTGAATAACATATTTCTCTTCTGTTGCCTTAAAATGTATGTTTCACAACAGGACCAATAGAAGATGACTGAACAATTAGGGATTGTATGGAAGGGTCATACGAGAAAGCCTCCTCTCAGAAAAGAACGACAGGAGAACTTAGATCTGTCAAGTTTTATCAAAGTGATCATGACTTCTGAGACAATGTCCTTTGGACAGACGAAATAAAAGCAGACATTTTTCCATAATACATAAAACAATGTTTAGAGAAAACCAAACAATGCACAAATGCACCATACGAAAGCACATTAGTGGAAGGCTCTTGGTTTGGGCGCCTTAAGGCTTTGTTATACTACAAGATGTAAGATGTTGGATCTCATTGACTTTATTGTAGACAGTCTTTTTCTCATGGACATTTCACACACTAAAGAGAAAATGTAAGGGATGAATCCTGATGAGTCTTCCCACTGCAGCAAGTCATACTCAATCAGAATCAATGTAGATGGCACAGTTTTCAGAGTGGATGTTTATTTTCAATTGATGAGGGAAAAGTTGGAGGAGGAAGAGCAGGTATTCCTGTTGCTAACCCAGGAGAAACACTATTTTGTAAATGTGTCACAAAGAGACCGTCACTGTTTCTAACAGATGGTGCCGGAACGTGTTCCTGTGATGCCCGGCTGAGGCGCACTCACACCTGGTCATCACAGCCATAGACAACGGTCTGTGTCTCCACACTGTTTTATTTGACTTGCTTTATCATTGTTACTGGGACAGTTGTAATATTGGCTGCATTTTCTCACAGCCCCGGCAAGCAGCTCCTCAGCAGATGCTGCCCTGATATTAGCTGACTGCAACCACTTTACATAAGCAAACATGTCCACAAAGTTCTTATCAGTCACACAGTGCTCACCGCATCCTCCATAATAAACTAATTCTGACTGGGGGCAATGCACAAGACTGAGTGTCAGAGTGTGTGTGGTAAGAGTAGAAAACTATACAATTTATGTCACTCTTCCAAATTAGCAAGACATAAGGATGGGGCTTCTCATTGACTATAAATCAATCGTTACAGTCAATGTGTCAACTATGATCTCTGAAGACCAAATGGATTCTAGAGTCAAATGTGAGACCATCTGTCCAACAGCTGAAACTCGGACAAAATGAGATCAAGATGCGACAGAACAATGATCCCAAACACCGGAGATAATCTACAACAGAACAATGATCCCAAACACCGGTGATAATCTACAATAGAACAATGATCCCAAACACCGGTGATAATCTACAACAGGACAATGATCCCAAACACTGGAGATAATATACAACAGAACAATGATGGTTCGTGCTTTGAGAACTCAAAATCAGCTGATTAATGAGCTAAACCGTAAGATGGCGACGATTTGTGAGAATTGCAGGCCACCTGCGGCTTTAGGACTCAACAGCATATGGGATTGATTTTGGGGAAGCTCATAACGTGGATCAGTGGAGAGAAATACCCATAAATCTGGACACTTTGGACCGAGGAAGTTCCAGCAGGACTCTAGGCTGACGAGAAAAAAAAAACTGTCAGTAGAAATTCAACAATTGTGGCTTATCTGAATCTGACTCCCCCGTTCGGCCTCGGATATGAACTGACCATCAAGTTTCACATGGGACATGGGTAACTAGGGAAAAAGCTTTGTCTTTCACAAAAGTTTAAGCCACCACTTTATAATGGACAAGAACAACAGCAGGCAATTTTATTTTTTAGCCTAAACTATAAAAAAATGTTGTTTCAAATTTGTTGGCATGAATGCATCCAAAAATCAAAAACACATTCAGAACATTATGAGTATTAGCACAATAAGTGATCAAATTTCAGTGTGGGGTTTTGTACCTGAAGCAGTCTCCAGCGTGTGTTGAGGTCTTCAATGCGCTCCAGGTTGCTAGGTGACAGCTGGATGTCAGACGGTTCGAAAGTGGCTGCCAACTGGTTCATGTGCATTACATCATCCTTTATCAGAGCAATTTCTTCCTGGAACTCCTTCATACGCAAAAAAAAAAATAAAAATAAAAAAATCAATGTTAGCATTGAAAGACTAATGAAAACTTAACTTGTGTTACTGTTTAGTGCTTGCTGACTAATGTTCAATACTCGTAGCCAGTGATGTACTGCTTCCTGGCAAAGCAGAAATACTTTCTGTATGTTTTTTTTTGTCCTAAATGTTTTAATAATCCACGTTGCGAAAAAAATAAATGTCATATATTAAAACAATATGTAGAAAATCCTTCCTGGAAGTGGTTAAAAATATATCTGCAGAGCACTTGAGCATATGATTCACAGTCGGTGGCATGAGGATGACTCTAGGATCCTCTAGGAAGACCAATGCATTTCTGGATGTTTAGTTTTCCCAGCTTCTTCAAATGTATCAAAGCTCACTTTTCCTCCCATCCTGAAAAAAACTCTAGCATACAAACCCCCTCATTGCCATCAAAATTACTCTGGACTCTCTGAATGCTAGTATTTGACTAAGTATCAACATTGTTGTACCTGAGAAAACTCAAGCAGCTATGTGTGCACCGCATAATGGTTCAGAAACTCACGGAGACCTTTAACAACACTGCTAATGTGCTAATGGAAAACTACGGCGCCCCAGAGGGGACATGGGGGATTTTTTTTTTTTCTTTTGCATTACCCCGCTCACCGTGCTCAGGCATCTGGTTAGGATGCCTCCTGTACACCTCCCTGGTAAGGTGTTCAGGACATGTCCCACTGGGAGGAGACCCAGAGGAAGACCCAGGACATGCTGGAGGGATTATGTTTCTCGACTGGCCTGGGAACGCCTTGGGATTTCCCTGGAGGAGCTGGCCCTTAAGTGGCTGGGGAGAGGGACGTCTGGGCCTCCCTACTTAGGCTGCTACCCCCGTGACCCGACCCCGGATAAGCGGAAGAAAATGGATGGATGGATAGATGCATTCCCTCACAATACTTTTGTGTTCCCTAGCAATAGTTTTGCGTTACCTCGCAAAGTCCAGAAGACTGATGTTTCCTTCTGACAAATTCCACCAGAATTGCTAAGCCAGAATAATCCTTGCGACGACTGTCTTCTTGCGCCAAGTATATTTTTTAAATAACCTTCGCTGATGTGACACACATACCTTTTGGCAAGCACAGACTGGATATCCTTATATTTAAGACTGCGCTCAAAATAAAACTCCATGAACCTCAAATACGCGTGTAGTGTCTGTTCCATTGTTGCTCTTGTCTGCAAGGCAACACTAAAATACTGCGAGGGAACGCAACATTTTTTACATGGGAACACAAAAGTTTTGCAAGGGAATGCCAAAAGAAAAAAAAAAAAAAATCCCCCTTGCCCCCTCCAGGGCTCCCTAGAAAACAACAATCGGACATAACACAAAAAATTATTAGACAAAAGAGGTCAGAAGACAAAATTGTTGGTCAGAGAATAGACTGTTTTTGGGTCAGAGGGTCAGAAAATGGACTTATAAGAAATTCCATAATTAAATAGTATCACTGTGCTAAAAGTTTTTGCTTAGTTCCTGTGCTGTTGGCAGCCTGTCAACGTATATTTAAAGCATTGGTCAATATTTTAAACCTAAGTTGTCTATAGTGACAGTGTTCTCTGGGTGATATGGGTTGCCATTTTAAACGTATTCAGTCACCACAGTTCTGATGTCCTCTTTAGCTTTATATACTGTGCGTATGAAAACAAATTTAGTTGGCTTTGTGTTTAACTGATTCCTTTTTGCTCTGGTCTGCTGTCATCAAATGGCACCTGCTTGTAACGAGGAGAGGACACATGCTCTGTCCTGCTGTTGGACTGTGTCTCTATTGTTGCTATTGATTTGGACTGATTTGGTCTTTCTTGCTGTTGGATGATGTTAGAGAGTTGTAAGGTTTGTTCTTTTAGTGTTTCGTACTGTTAAATGGATTAATTTTGGTTACCTCATTCAGCCCCACCATTAACTCTCTTTAGACCAAAGTATTCAAGAGTCAAAAATGAGGACATCTGTCCATCATCTAAAGCTTGGTTAAAATTTGGTCATGTACACTTGAAGTTTGAATAATGTTAAACATAGTGGATCATTTTTATAATGTCTGATCCAGTATGTAAAACTTCTACAGTTGAAATAGGATGGACTTCCTATTTCTCATGGCTGTATACGAAACAGATCCCACTGGAATCAGGCCCTGGGGCAGACACAGAAACTGCCAGAGAGATTGATTATACATCCTCTCTGGCTTGGGAATGCCTTGGGGTCCCCCAGGAGGAGCTGGAGAAAGGGATGTTTGGCTTTCTCTCTTGGACCTGTTGCCTCAGCGACCCAACTATGGATAGGTGGTATAAGATGGATGCATGCATGGGTAAATGTAAACACAACAATTGGTTTTCTAGGGTACACACCTGCTATTACCAGGGGTAAATGAAAGGTTTACCTTGACTCTGTCGATGTGTTCGGGCAAGGAGTCAATCAGCTGTTCTCCCACTGGTTCCCAGGCCTCTTTGACCATCTCTGCCTGCCTCAACTGGGTGTCCAACAGATCTTCTGCCTCCTGAAGCTCCAACAGCCTTTCCAGAGCCAATTCCAGCTGCCTCTGCCAATCAGCTGAGTTGTATTTGAGACTGTCCCACTTGGTCATCACATCATCTGCTTCTTTGCGCACAATTCGACCCACATTCTGAGCACGCTCCTCTGGGCTTATATCTAAGGCTTTAGGGAAAAAAAAATGAGCAAATAGGAAGAAATATTCCAGTGATACTTCAGTTATACCCATTACAAAATGAAAGAAGACATAGTCAACCTTAATTTCTTCCTGAAAGCCATTATATTTAGTTTACCGCTGATAATATCGGTTTTATATTTTCTTTTTAGCCGTTACATATGTGAGTTGCATAAAAGAAATAGTTCTGAAGAGCCAGCAGTCCTTACATTATCGGTACTTGACCTTTCAAATACCGCCAACCACTGGTTAACTGCAAGGTCAGATGTGGAATTACTTTATGCAATTTATTAAGCACATAGAATAAAAATCTCTGCTACTTAATAGGATTTATTACTCAGAAGGAGAAGTCCTACAGTCATAAAGAGTCTGTACACTTCTTAAGACCTGCCACGCATTAACAAAATATTTTTTTCAGTTTGTATACATTCTTGCAAATTAACTACGTATTTTAAACCAACTGAAATCATAACTTGGGCTTTTATCTTAAAACAAAGCTGGCTGAGTTATTTCTAAAGGAAAATGTCACATATATCATATCAATGCTTTGGATTTTGCTTTCCGACATCTCCAACTGCTGCCCAGTGGAAAGTTGCATGGCCAATACAGAGCAACCTCCTTTGTTTCCCTCAGTGCAGTGCTCACCAGCCACTGGAATTCCCCTTTCCCTTTGAGTACTCCCTGAATGTGTTTGAGCTGGCAGCTGAATGGGTTTAAATAAGCCACACTTTAGATCTGGTTGTTTTTTTTTTCTAAGAGCCTTGTAACCAGGCTGCTGCCATGGTGCAGACAGTGTTGCAAGAAAGTGTTCGGCTGTTTGTGGTGTGTGTATGTGGATCCCCACAAGTGGTTGTTTCCAGGCTGTTACCAGGATCCAAAACTTAATGTGCGAGTATCCTGATGCATGCTCAAATGTGTGAGTCAGAGAAGAACAAAGGTGATTTCATTCTTTCTTGATCTATAAAATGTGACATGGGAAGGCTGACCATACACTGTGCCATTGAAAATGTTACTAATTAAAAAAAAAAAAAACCCTGTTAAACAATTAACACAGGCGGCTCAGTTGGTGGAGGTGTTGCCTCTCAGCGAGAAAGTCATTGGTTCAAATCCTGGCCGGGAACCTTTCTGGGTGGAGTGTTTTATCCGAGTACTCCGGTTTCCTCCCACAGACCAAAAACATGCATGTTAGGCTGACTGGTAACTCTAAATTGTCCCTAGGTGTGAGTGAGAGAGTGAATGGTTGTTGGTCTCTATGTGTCCCTGTGATGGACTTGTGACCTGTCCAGGGTGTACCCCACCTCTGGCACAGTGATAGCTGGACCTGGGCACCAGTGACCCCTGCGACCCGAAAAGCGAATAAAGATAATGAATGAATTTATGTTTATATGTATATACCTTATTTTTCACCGTACAAGTCGCACCTTTTTGTATAAATTTGCAAGTCCTGCAACTTATACACCCAAGCGACCAATATATATACACACACACACACACACATATACATACATATATATATATGTATATATATATATATATATATATATA